TAAAATGCAAACTCCCTCTAGCAATCTGATATAAATGGGAAAGAACGAAATCATGAATTGAAGTAAACGACAATGTATTTATTTTAATATCTGCAAAAAGGCAATGTATTTATTGGTGATCCCACAATGCAAAACTGGCATTGAATAGGTGGCTTTCCTGTACAGATCAGCATGATTTACCAAAACACGGCAGCCATTTCCAAGGCTGATCTTACAATAAAGATGTGCATATGTAACACATTCTGCTTCCTGAACTCATTTTACAAATGTGTTAAAGCAACACTCTGAGTCTACATAATTCACAGTTTAAAACAGTTAAGAAATATAATCACTCGCAGAGCGCTTGATTAAAGCGTTTACAGAACCAATCACCATCTGACAGTTAGATCAAAGATTGTTAACTTAAATCTCCCTTCTAATTGCGTTTAAAATGCCACACCTCGGGCCTGTCTTTCTATCACTATTTTTTTTCTCCAAACCGAATTCTGCTTAAAAAAAGATCTAAAGCGTCTTAACAGTTCATTATCCAATAAAAGTATTCAAAGCTTGAAAGCAATCTACACAATTAGTCAAGACCTCAGGGAGCCACCGGTAGTCTTTATTACAGGCCATCATATTAAAACACCTTAATTATATTTGTCAAACGCATTTCATTAAAATGTACCACTATTGTAATTTTGACAGTGGTCACAGAAACATTTTTCACACCCCTCAAAGCGTTACAGCTACAGCGTTTTCAATGTGGCTTTTAGCGTGGTTAGGTTTATATTTTCTGTTTGTTTTAATTTAGTTAATTGTTAGTTAATTACCCAATTAAACGCACACAAGCACACTATATATTTATCTCCATCAGCGACAGATAGAAATGTCAAATTTAGCAGAGTATCTCAGCTAGGTGCTTTACAAATAATGAAAACAATATGAATAAAAGGCATTATTTATACACATCGTGAAGATGTTAGATTATACCCCATAGTGAACTGATGGCTAATTTCTGATTTTTATTTAGTAAAAAGACTAATCCAATTCTTAATGGATGTCATTTTTTTCTTCTTGTCTAGAACAAACTATTTACAAATTATTTTGAAACCCTGTGCACGCATTTACAGGAAAAACACCGTATGAGAATGCATGATACAAGAAAGGGGGCATTTATTAAGCACATATTCCTATACGGATTGTGTGGGGTAAAAAAAAATAATAAAAAGACAATTGCCAAACGAGAACAAAAAAAGTCCTATAAGTTTGGGAGGTGCTGAGGGAAAAATTCCAATTAGTGGAAATAAATTTGATTGTAAGTTTTTTAATTGCAATAATAAAGTGTGTCACCTGGTCCTATGTGGTAATTATGAAAAGCTGAAAATAACAGCATTATTCTTTACGATGGAGCTACAGGCTGTACGTTGGTAACAAATATTCTCCCAGAATGGATTTTTATAAAATAACAATTTACTAGCATTTAAATTAGATGGAAAACGTTGAGCGTGGAGACATGATCTCGCCGTGTGCTGCTTTCAGACACGTGTGGAATACTCTCTAGTGCTTCATAAATGGGCCCTGGGAGCTACAAGACCCTCAGGCTCGCCATTTTTATTAACAAGTCTCCAATGCAGCCTTTTCATATCTCTAAGCCTCAGTCTATACATAATTTTTTCTGAATTTTATTATTGGCTTCACAAGGAAATCAATGGCCCCTAAAAAGCAACACAGGCCTACTTAATATTTACCTTTTATTGTAACACACCAATACTTGTATTTCATATAAAGCAGTGGTTCTAATCCTTTGGTCTGGACCCTACAAAGGGCCCTATGTCATTAATGTGCCTCCCGTGACATTTGACAGACCCTGGGTAAGTGGCCACACGAAGCTGTTCAGTGGCACAGTCCTGCAGTGCCCAGTACCACGCAGAGAACCTCCAGGACACTGGAATGATGGTATTCAGGAAACTGAAATGAATACGAATTATAAACCATCTGAAGGAATGCTTTTCCCTTTTAACATTGAATATCAGTTAATATAAAGTAGTATCAGAGAGTGAGTTTCCAACCTGCCAGTGGTCCTTACAAGGACACTCTAAACACTGCTGTGCCGACGAGTTATTTGAACCATGAAGTGCAGCGGGTCCTATAAAATGGCTTCCTTTTCATGGGTCATTATGGGACTGTGCAAGATTACCCAAACGACTCCCACAAAATGGCTTCCCAAACTTAGAGCTTCCTCATGTCAAATCGTTGGCACCAATTCGTCTAAGGCAGGGTTGGGTGGATCTTATATGCATTATAGACATTGCAGTAGGGAGTTCATCTTAACAACAACCTACATCGGAAGGTGGAGCCCATCGACAATGGCGGGGACTGCTAGGAAATGGCATGATCGGTATTGAACTGGACTAGGTGACTAGAGAGAGGAATCGAGTTGGGCTGTTCTCTTTTATTCTATATTTGCTTGCAATACTGATGCACCCTTAAATGGTTTGTATTTACTATGGCTAACAAGAGAATACAGGGCAGGTATCATCCCCGGTCAATTAGCCCAATCAGCACATTATCTTGGCCATGTCTACTGGAGTGGAATAAACGTTTACATCTAATTAAAGAAACACTCAAAGCAGACAAACTAGTACAGTGTGCTGTAGTGGTTATGGTGTCTGGACTGCTCTGGGATCCACATCAATGTAAATAGTTAAACTGTTTGCTAATTATTTGACACAGATACATCGGTCCACTGGGTGCCAATCACGTCAAACATGTCTCTAAATGGCGCTTTCCGTCAATGAGCTGGCCCTTCATGGCAGGGGGGATTGTCTCTGGAGAGCAACAGAAGCTTCATGCAGGAAATTCCGACTCTCAGTGGAGGCAAACCCCCGGCAATTGGTCAAACTCACAAGAGAGGGGCACAAGGGCACTCATGGCACCTCAACCACTCCAGTATAAATGCGTCCTCCACAATAATTTCTTGGATGCGGTTTAGCACAGCTATAAATATAAATAAAAAGCCTACATTTTCTCATGTCTTTACATATATTTCCTGTGATTCACATACATGCAGCTCCACAAATATCGTAAATAAAAAGGAAAAACAGAGAGAGACTCGCACATTGGTCCAGGATTGAATATTTATGACGAGTTCCAGTCAAAGAGTTTCACCTCACCGAGATAAACCCTCAAGAAAAACACATGTTAAGGAACAAAACAAAATTTCAACAAATTGCTTAAAACTAGTGGAAAATATATTTTAAAAAACAATAAACAAATAATATAAATTTTTTTTTTTTTTAAAGATTGATGTAGTTTTGTGTTTTGAAAGAGAAACGAGTTTTAATTCTCCCAAACCCAGAGCTGTGTTTGTGTAAGCTGCATAATATCCCAATCCCTTCCAGCAATAAAACACAGCGTTGGATAGCTGCAGCTTTGCTCGTGGAGAAACGGAGCGGCAGCGGCGGTTTATAAACCATCATCATATTTGTTAAGCATTATTTTTTCATTGGCTGCAATCCCAAGGGTTCTCAATGTTTAAACAGCTCCCTCCCATGTTAAGCTTTGCACTAATATCGATCCACTCCAGACTGACACATTCCAAGAGGCATTTTCGATAATCAGCCCAGCTGTTTGGAGTCTTGAAGCTGCAGCCTAACCCTTCGGTAAACAGCTGAATGCAGGGCAACTCTTCCCTCGGCAAATATATCCTTGTAATCTCTTGTAAGTACTACTGATTATACCGCTCCAAATAAAGAACTTAATTCCTAATTTAAACACTGGGTGTTATGGGGGGCAAATTAAGTCAACCAGCATTTGGCAGAGATGAGTCTATGAATTTACGATTCAGGTCAGGCATCAATGCAATTTGATAGACAGCTAAAAAACAAATAAACAAAAAAAAAAAAGCAAAGAACATATTAAACATTTAGAGTTGAACAGAGAACGCGGAGTAACAAGTATATCGTAGGATGGGGATTAATAAAAAAAAAAGAAAAAAAAAAGAAGCAAACTGTATATATAAACCGTAAAAGTGGGATCTATTTTTAATAAACGCAGCACTCACGATTTTTACTCCAGCAACGGACATTAAATTTAAATTTGTGTCAACTCAGGGAGATGAATTCCTATCAGGAGGTTCCGGGGCTGAATTTAACAACGAATCGCAATATTCATCTAAAGACATCGCCGTTTTTGAAACCTATGTGACCGCGCTGTACGGAGATTTAAAGGGTTAAATAAGGGCTCATTCTAATTATCTCTGAGTATTGCAGAAAGAGCCACTGCAGTAAAATCATTGTGGACGTATATGCATCATCTCAGAACCTTAGAAGTAATGAGTGATCTTTACTATGACTGATCTGAACTCTGACATAACTGCTTTAATATGGCAAATCCCAGAGGAATACGCTAGCATTTAAATGGCTAATGTGTACATAGTGTGTACATAGCACGCAGCACCACGTGCTAAAACTCACTGAGAGGGACAGCTCATTTCTATCATGAATTATTTTGATTCCCTAGAAACCATGACGTCATCTGCAGCAAAATGTTTGGAGAAAAAGGGTCAAAATGGAGGGGCACAAACTGCGCGCTTTTTAAAGAACACTTTGTCTAAGAATGAAGAATAAAAAAAAAGATCACAAATAAAACCAAGTATCATTAATGGAAACTATAGATTCCTACTATATTTCTAATCAATTATATTAACATAAAAAAATAAATAAAAGTGAAACAGAAAGTCTTCCTCAGACTCCTCCCTTTTATTCCTATTGCCATTTATATGGCTCCAACAGATTCCACAGCGCTTTACAATATTATAAAAGGTGGGGTTTAACTATAAATAGGACAATCACAAGAAAACTTGCAGGAATGATAGGTTGAAGAGGACCCTGCTCAACAAGCTTACAGTCGATAGGAGGTGGGGTGTAAAATACAATAGGACTAGTGATGTCCCGAACGGTTCACCGCGAACGGTTCGCCGCGGACTCATCATTGAGTAAACTTTGACCCTGTACCTCACAGTCAGCAGACACATCCAGCCAATCAGCAGCAGACCCTCCCTCCCAGACCCTCCCACCTCCTGGACAGCTCACTAAGAATGCAGCTTCACAATGAATGTAAAATGGATGCTGTCCAGGAGGCGGGAAGGTCTGGGAGGGAGGGTCTGCTGCTGATTGGCTGGAATGTGTCTGCTGACTGTGAGGTACAGGGTCAAAGTTTACTCAATGATGAGTCCGTGGCGAACCGTTCGAGACATCACTAAATAGGACATCTCATATAAGCAATCAAATAAGGTGGGAGTGAAGCAGAGCTGGAGGAGAGAGCCAGAAACACCCTGTGTTCCTGCAAAGAGGTTTAGAGGGTACAGTTGCAAGAAAAAGTATGTGAACCCTTTGGAATGATATGGATTTCTGCACAAATTGGTCATAAAATGTGATCTGATTATCATCTAAGTCACAACAATAGACAATCACAGTCTGCTTAAACTAATAACACACAAAGAATGAAACGTTGCCATGTTTTTATTGAACACACAATGTAAACATTCACAGTGCAGGTGGAAAAAGTATGTGAACCCTTGGATTTAATAACTGGTTGAACCCACCTTGGCAGCAATAACTTCAACCAAACGTTTCCTGTAGTTGCAGATCAGACGTGCATAATGGTCAGGAGTAATTCTTGACCATTCCTCTTTACAGAACTGTTTCAGTTCAGCAGTATTCTTGGGATGTCTGGTGTGAATCGCTTTCTTGAGGTCATGCCACAGCATCTCAATCGGGTTGAGGTCAGGACTCTGACTGGGCACTTCAGAAGGTGTATTTTCTTCTGTTTAAGCCATTCTGTTGTTGATTTACTTCTATGCTTTGGTCATTGTCCTGTTGCAACACCCATCTTCTGTTGAGCTTCAGCTGATAGACAGATGGCCTTAAATTCTCCTGCAAAATGTCTTGATAAACTTGGGAATTCATTTTTCCTTCGATGATAGCAATACGTCCAGGCCCTGACGCAGCAAAGCAGCCCCAAACCATGATGCCCCCACCACCATACTTCACAGTTGGGATGAGGTTTTGATGTTGGTGTGCTGTGCCTTTTTTTCGCCACACATAGTGTTGTGTGTTTCTTCCAAACAACTCAACTTTGGTTTCATCTGTCCACAGAATATTTTGCCAGTACTGCTGTGGAACATCCAGGTGCTCTTGTGCAAACTGTAAACGTGCAGCAATGTTTTGTTTGGACAGCAGTGGCTTCCTCTGTGGTATCCTCCCATGAAATCCATTCTTGTTTAGTGTTTTATGTATTGTAGATTCACTAACAGGGATGTTAGCATTTGCCAGTGACTTTTGTAAGTCTTTAGCTGACACTCTAAATTCTTCTTCACCTCATTGAGCAGTCTGTGCTGTGCTCTTGCAGTCATCTTTACAGGACGGCCACTCCTAGGGAGAGTAGCAGCAGTGCTGAACTTTCTCCATTTATAGACAATTTGTCTTACCGTGGACTGATGAACAGCAAGGCTTTTGGAGATACTTTTATAACCCTTTCCAGCTTTATGCAAGTCAACAATTCTTAATCGTTGGTCTTCTGAGAGCTCTTTTGTGCGAGGCATCATTCACATCAGGCAATGCTTCTTGTGAAAAGCAAACCCAGAACTGGTGTGTGTGTTTTTATAGGGCAGGGTAGCTGTAATCAACACCTCCAATCTCTTGATTGGATTCCAGTTGGCTGACATCTCACTCCAATTAGCTCTTGGAGATGTCATTAGTCTAGGGGATCACATACTTTTTCCACCTGCACTGTGAATGTTTACATGGTGTGTTCAATAAAAACATGGCAACATTTCATTATTTGTGTGTTATTAGTTTAAGCAGACTGTGATTGTCTATTGTTGTGACTTAGATGATGATCAGATCACATTTTATGACCAATTTGTGCAGAAATCCATATCATTCCAAAGGGTTCACATACTTTTTCTTGCAACTGTAAGTAGTTTATCCCCAAGTTCCAACCTGTTCTGTAAATGAATACCAGTCATATCACAGCTGTTACCATTTTACCATTGGCCCAATTCATAGTTTTATGAAATAGGCCATTGCATCTATTAATAAACGTATGTGAGAGCCTGGAGTGTCCCTTTAATAATATAAACCCACCCAGCATAACAGTAACCTAACCTACACAGTGCATCTAACGTGTGTGGGAGGCTGGAGTGTCCCTTTAATAATATAAACCCACCAAGTATAACTAACTGTAACCTAACCTAAACAATGCATTAAGCGTGTGTGGCAGCATTAAAACCACCTGCCTAATATCGAGTAGGTCCCCCTCGTGCTGCTATAACAGCTCTGATGCATTGAGGCATGGATTTCACAAGACGCCTGAATGTGTACTGTGGTATCTGGCAACAAGACATTAGCAGAAGATTTTTTAAGTCTTGCAAGTTGCATGGTGGGGCATCCATGGATCTGATTTGTTGTTGCAGAACATCTCACAAATCGGATGGATATCTGAGGAATTTGTAGGCCAACGCAACCCTTGAACTCTGTCATATTTCCTCAAACCATTCCTTCTGACGCGAGTCTCTACGGCTGGGGTCGTTGGTCAGACTCCGAATCCCGGCTCCACATCAACGTTGGAACTTCAGGCGGGCTCTTTCGCAATCCGAAGTTTTGCAAGGGACCGAGCACAGGCGTGCATTTGCCTTCGTATGGACAACATCTCGCTGGGTATGTCAACCACATGGACGGCACCCATTCGGCAGTCCTGATCAGACTGGCGAACAAATTTTGGGAGTTCTGTCTAGCTTTGAATTTTATGGTCCTAGCGGAACATCTACTGGGCCTACACAATGTCCAGGTGGATTGGAATTCACAGTATCTTTTGGACAACAAAAACTGGAAATTGGACGCGGAGGTGTTCTCAACTGTATTGTCTCTCTGGGGTCCTTTTGTCTCCACGCCCAACTCCCACGGTTTTTCAGTTGGAGGCAGTGGACGCTTTCCTGCAAGACTGGCAAGGGTATCTCCTGTACGCATTTCCCCCCTTCTCCATGATTCTTTAGTATGTCAACTTCTACGTGGCTACCGTCTTTCTTGTCCACCAAGACTGCGTTATTCATCCACTTGAGATGTCTCGGTTGGTCTGTCTTTTATCTTTGCCTGGCCTTCTAACCGGGATCTCTCATTACGCCTGTTGTCGGCTAAATTGGTTTGTCTCTTTTGCCTCATTTCTTGCAAAAGGGTGTCGGATGCATGTGCTTTGGATTTTGATGCTAGATCATACACTGCGGAGGGAGTGACTTTCAATATTTCCAGACGTACTAAGACTTCTAGTAAGTTGATATCGTATCCAACTTTCCCTTCGACACCCCGGCTTTATGTCCGGTAGCATGTTTGTGCAAATATGAGGATCGTACCAGGCCGCATCGTTGCGGATCTATGCCCCACCTTTTCTAGTATTTTCAACCTCTTTTTGCTCCAGTTGCGAGCGCTATGTTGTCCCGATGGTTGAAGTGGATTCTGGACCAAGCTGTCAACGTTTCTGTTTTTGGGGCGCATTCTGTTAGGGTTTCTTCTGCCTCATCGATTATGGCATCGGGCGCACGTATGGAGGACCTTGAGAGAATGGCCGATTGGTCGTGGGAATCAACGTTTCGTGAATTTTTGTTTATTTCTGTGGTGGTTGATCAGCTTTAAACTTGCAATATGAGCCTCTGGGTCTTGTAATAAAATTGATGATTTTCCTATTACATGACGTAAAGTCACGATTTTATTAAAGACATGGTGGCGAGTATTGTCCCACCCGTTATGAAACAATTTCTCAACTTTAGTATTTTCTGTTTTTCCCACCCATGTTGTTCGTCGTAGGAGTCTGGATTCGCTGGTATGGTAAGTGGGGCATTGTATTTATGAGGCTTAGTTTTGATTGTACTTGTTCAGAGTTTTGGGATGGGCTGTTCATTTTGGTATGTGGATTACTGCCTATACTTATTCTGCCTTGATTTTGGTCTATAGTACCGATTTAACTCTTGGGCTCCTGTTCTTTATGTTTCCACAGCATGATAAAGACGTATTCTGATGTCTCTTTCATCTGCCTTGGAGGAGCATTCTCTTGTTGGAGCTGTTCCGTGGATGCTCGGATTGGTTTCCGGTTATCGATTAAGTGGTCCTGTGTTCTCCGTTCTGGACTTTTACGTTTACTTTGCTGATGGATTATGTCTGCTGGTTTTTTTTCTGTTTGCGGACTGTGACGAAAGCAACTTCGTCACTGGGTCTTCGAGGGGACTACTGGCCAGCCTTTTACCCTATGACTATGGCCTCTTTATTTATTTTGGCTAATTGCCCTAATTGTGCATATTGGCACTTTAAACATTGGTTCTTCGAACTCCCGAACAGTCTAAGTGGCATGGACTAGACTTCAGGGGGACTTAGCCGCGAATCTTTGGAACTGTTTTGGGGATGAAATCCTGGGTTCGTCTGGGCAAAAATACGACTTCCATAAAATTTCTGAACCCCTGATCTGATCTGAGTCATGGAAAATTTATATCATGTTTATGTTATGTTTTGGGGTGTTTTCTAGACCTTGTATAAATGTGTGTTTTTTTCTGCCTGTGGATAATTAGGTTTATGCATTAACTACCTTAATTATATCACAGGCAGAGGGGAGGGATTGTTTAATGTATGTGGGGGTGTCGGACATTCTTATACTGTTCTTATTGGTCTGTGCAGTTTGTAATGCTGTGCTCCATCAGGTCCACAGGGTGTGCCTCTGCCCTGAGGAATTGTATATAAGCCAACCTGTACCAATAAAGCTATACCAATAAAGCTTCAGACTTGTTCTACCCTTCATGAAGTCTTGGCTCATGTTTGGGGGATTGGAGAACTACCTACACCCGGGGGATTGCTATAATCACTATACTCCCCAGAGTATAATCACTAAGCTCCTGTAAGAGCTGTTCCTGCTCTCTGGATTATAAGAGATCTACCTACTGGAAGCTGGATCCTGGTCTTGGGTCCAGAGTGGGTGGAAGACGGCGAGACCCCAACTAAGCTGCAGCGGTTTGTGGGGTCTGCGGTGGTTATGGTGTCCAGTGGAGTGCTTGGAGCCATCGGGAACCACTAGGAGCATCCGTCAACGGAGGTACCCAGTTAGGGTGCCAGGTGATCCGTTACAAGGACTTTCTGTTATGGTGTGTCGCACC